TTATCAGGTATTTAAGTATGTTATAAAACTAGAATGTTGAAACAACATAGTAGGGCATGAGCATATAGATCATTGGCCAGAACATAGGTTTAGAAATAGATGCAAATTCATATGGGCATTTGGAAAATTACCAGGATGGCATCTCAATGAGTAAGGAATTATTCACTCTGTGGGACAGCTGTGTTATTTTTTTTTTAAATTGTCCAAAATTTATTGTAAAGAAAAAATCATTAAAGCATATACATAAAAAACATTAGCTATGGAAGAACAAAATTAAATAGCATCTTATTCCACATCATAAAGAAAAAAGAAAAAAAAAAAAAACAACCAAGTGTGTAAGAAACTAGACTAATTAAAGGACTGAAAGAAAAGAAAAGATCTGTCCGCTTTGCAGCTGTGTTATTATTACAGGGAAATTAGTTGTAGTTTTACTTGTTAATTTTGACTAACATTAGTTCTTAATAATGATGTAAACTTGAAAAACTAAACTAGCACTGGATCAAGTTTCAAGTAATTTAAGTGATTTATTTACATTTAAAAAATAAAGTCTTTATTTCTCACATTTCTGCCAACTCTCTTCATTTAGAAGGATGTAGGGATTCATGATATTCACATAAAGGGTGTATAAATCTGCTGTATGCCTTGTGTGTGAATTGGCAGCGAGTCATGAATGATTTGTTTTGGGCTGAAGAATGGAAGATCACAAGCTCTGAGGCTTACGTGTTGGTTTTAAGTCAGTTAATGCCTTCTTTCCCTTCTTTAATACTTTTGGTGCTGGGAAAATGAATAGTATGAAAGAATAGATTAAGTATTTGGCATGTCAGAAATGTAGGCAAGTTTCAGTTTGAAAACTAGTTTAATTATATTATATTTATTATAATTAAACCTAAATTCCAGATTATGTATTACTATGTGATACATAGTATATATTTAATACATATTTAGTAATATGTATTCAGTAACATGTATTACTAAATTCCAGAGCCATAACCACAATTACACCGTTCTTTGAGGAAGTGGTAAAGATAGTGGTGGGTGAGTAATTTCCTTCTAACCTTCCAGAGGTGGTGGTAGTGGTTGAAGACTCAAGGACTAAGGTTATCCGTCAAGTTTTAAAAAACATAGGGTGAGTGGAAAGACCTGTGCCTACCCAGGTAGTGGTAAATCTGTGACAGAGCTACCTAGTAATTGTCTTGTACCTGGTGAAAGATAGGAAGGAAATACAGGTCTAAGCTAGCAAGAATAAGAAGCAAGAAAATTTAGACTCGATGGCACTTAAGGCCAATAATTTTAGACATTTTAAACAAAAGACTTATTCAGTATAGCTCTAATTTTGTTTAATGTTGGGCTTTTTGTACATTTTTTGTTGTTTGTTTGTTTGTTTGTTTGTTTGTTTTGAGACAGTCCATGTAGTTCAGGCTGGCTTTGACCACACTATTTTGCTGGGGCTGGCCTCAAATTCGCAGTGGTCTTCCTGCTTCAGCCTCTCAAGTGCTGGGATTACAAGCATGGGCCACCATGCTGGGCATGTATTTTTATATGTGAATATAAATCCAGTAATCTTGAAAACATACCACAGAATTCACCATTCATCTCAGTGTGTTAGAAGTTACAAAATCTTTCTTTTGCCTGTACTTTTAAACTTTTCTATAAAGAATATGCTTTACCTATATACTCAAAAGCTGCTCTTTTTCTTGTGCACATATACAGGTGTAACATTTGTTCTGTCCTGACAGTGGATGTGTTTTTTGTTTTTATAGGTACACCAGAGGCTCTCTTCCTGGCAGAATCTGGGAGTTGTTTATTGCAGTACTGTTGTGCCCTCTGATGGTGAGTGGTGGCAAACCCATTTTTAAGGTCTTCCCCCACCCCCGACATTTATAAATGTATAAACCATACTGTTTTTGCTTAAGGTGGGTTTGGTGTCAGACAGAGAAGGGTTAAAAAAAGAAACTAAGATTTGGATGAGGAACTCATAGACTTAGAGGGAAGACCATGAAGAAAAACCAACAGGCCTAAGAATTCCTAGGTCTCAGAATATTCACTTAGGTCTTAAAATTGGACACACATTTAGTGTGAAAGTCACAAAAGCACCATCTTCTATATTTCCTAGCCTTTGGGTTTTCGTATGATGATTACTGATCGCTCTTGCCCTTCTGTGGTATCATCCTGGACTCAAGCATTTCAGAGTCTGAGACCCTCTGCTTTCTCTTGTCTTGCTCTTCCCTTAGGCTCAGGGCAGTAATTCTCTTATGTGGGAAGGAACGAACAGATGCTTGGAGACCGCTTACAGTCTCTGTCTTCAGTGTTGTAATCTGACAACCGGATCTAAGCTTCCGTTGTGCTTTAGTGGGGGGGGGGGTGCTGCCAACTTTTACTGCCACTTCTCCTCCCCAGTATTGTACTATTGTGCAATACACTTTGGGTTGCTTAATGTAGGTTGACTGCTGTAACTATGTTTCTTCTGTGTAAGGTTTTGTTTGATAAGAGCTTGAATCTCAACTTTATAAATATTAATTTGTAGTCATAGCAGCCTTTGAAAGAACATTCTGCAAATTTATAAGGACACTTAAAATTGAAGAAGACCAGAACATGAATCACAAAAATCCTAGAATCCTCTGAATTCAGTCAGTATTGATTTTTTTAGTTATCAGTGTCCTTCTCCAAAGCTCTTTAGTGATCTGAATGCATGGATAGTTTGGTCAGATTTGCTGAATCCTCGAAACTTGAAGGACGAATCCTTTTGTGGTTTCTCACTTGTAATGTGGAAAGGTTGGAAGGGGAAATAGGCCACAATCCAAACAAGGAAAATAGCAGCTGGCTTCTTTTCTCCTGTTTCTTGAAGGCATAAAACCCTGAGGTATTACCAGTTGATACATATGTTAAAAAGCAGTGTTCTCCTTTGTTGCAGCCAGAGAGCAGATTGTCCCTGGTCAAGACTTAGTATGTAGCCAAATACAAGCCCTTCTCACATGGCCAAGATCTAGAATACAACGATGCCACCTCCTTCCTGCTTTCCCCCTGAAAGCTCCCAAACAATGGCTCGGTATCTCTTTTCCCCAGTGCTGTCCTGGTGCAGTATATGGAGCAGTGTGGAGGCCATCAGCATCTGTGCCGCACCACTCTCATGTCTCATTACCTTCATCCATCACTGATGCAAAGTAACGTCCTTAGGAAGTTGCAATAAACAGTTGTCTCTCAATGTAAAAAGAAATGATCAAAGTGCTCGGTCCTCTCATTATTTGTAATTTTTGAAATTATTATACATTCAATCTCAGTACACATCAGTAGTGTGTATATTCATTAGTCATTATATGTGTAATATCAACAAAGTCATATAAAACAGGAGTCTCAAGTACCAATAGTTATATGATTCAGTGGCAATTAATTTGAATTAATAAGCTCACATTGTTATTTATGTTAAATTTGCCACTTAATTGCCATACTGTGATCCTATATGTCAATCTGTATAGCAATATTTCAATGATTTAATAATGGTACAGTTGTGCTGGAGTATGACTGAATGTTATCCAAGAACATAAATGCTAACAGGTTGTCCATATACTACATGAGGACTTGAAAGCAAAATTTTTACAAAGGTTAAAAGGCTAACAACTTTAAAAATTTCTCCAGGGCTGGGGAGATGGCTCAGTGGAATAAGCACTTCCCTGGCAAGCACAAGGGCCTGAGTTCAATCCCCAGTTTCACACACACACACACACACACACACACACACACACACACACACACAAAAGCTTCTCCCTAATTCCTTACTACTATTTGCCCTTCTTCACAAAACAACTCACGATAATCATCTAGAAATAGAAGCACAGAATTAGGTAATGTAGCTGCATATCCTTGCTACCTCCAAATTATGTATCTTTCTTAGTTTTTACTTCTAAATGAACTTTACCTAGGTCACTATAGCATAGCAAACTCTGCTGATATATAGTTACTCCATCAAGAGACATTTCTACCTTCATTTACTATTGCTTAGCATTATTGCTGAGTCATATTCAATGATGGCTTGAGCCTCATTTTTAAAAAGTAGAATATAAAATGTCACATTATACAGTTGATATTTATATACCTATCATAGATGTTTCATACTCTACCTCTCAGTAATTGGTTCTTAATTATGTTATTTGACAAATCTAGTTATGACTATAATAGCTTAAAAATGTAGATTATCTTAAACATTTAACTCCCTACCAAAATGATCTAGAAGGTTCTTGATATTTTAAAAGAAGATTTTATATGTATTCAGTACAGGGGTCTCACTATGCAGCTCAGACTTGTAGTGATCTTGTTTTCAGCCTCCCCAGCGCTGGGATTACAGGTATGTGCCACCATGCCTGGTTTTGGTGGCCGGCTCAGTGCATCCAAGGGTGGGGCCAGTGTGGCATGTGGTGCTAGGGATCAAACCCCAGTTCTTGTGCTTGCCTAAGCAAGCGCTTAGTCCACTGAGTGATCTTACTGGCTCAGTTCTTGATTTTTTTTATCATAAATATTTTAAAGAATTTATTTAAAGCTCTAGACTTTTTCTAGAAATATTTATATGTCTACATAGGAAATTTTGCATATAGTTTCTTTTCTTTCTTTCTTTTTTTTTTTTTTTTTTGCGGTACCAGGGATTGAACTCAGGACCCTGCACTTGCCAGGGAAACGCTTATTCTATTGAGTTATCTCCCCGGGCCCTACATATAACTTCATAATGAAATAAATTCCCTCAAATCACATCATAGAATCCCTAGTCCCATGGGACCCTCCTTGGGAATCACTTTGGAGTCTTAGAACACAGGTGCTAATGCATATGTCCATGTCCGTGTCTCCTTTCATGAGGTCACAAGTGTAATAAGCTAGGCTTCCTCCCACTTCTACCATGTACCCACTTTATAGTCACAAGCAAGCAATTTCTCAAAACCTTTTTCCTCATCCTCATCTATAATTGGAAATAGTGAGCACTATCAGTTCTAAGTAAAAAAATGTACTCTGTAGAAATTGTACTTAGTCAATATGGAGTGATCATGATAGTATTAAAAACTTCTAATCTAAAATATGTGGTCTTCAGCTTCTCATTTTAATGTCTCTGTGCTCTAAATCCTCAAGTGTAAATGATTAATATGGAAATCTTTATAGATGTTTGCTTTATGCTTACTTAAAGCCTTTGAAGATTGTCCTGTATAAAAAATGTCCATATTACCAAAAGCAATCTAATAATTTAATTCGATCCCTATCAGAATATCAGTATTCTTCACGAAAGTAGACAAAACAATCCTCAGATTCATCTGCAATCAGAGAAGATGCAGGATAGCCAAAGCAATCCTGAGCAAATAGAGCAAAGCTAGAGGCATCACAATAGCTGATTTCAAAGTATACTACAAAATTTAGTACAAAAATAAGATGCTACTAACAAAAATGTAGACTGATAGGATAGAACCAAAAGTACAGAAAACAACTCCAGCAATCTGATTTTTGACAAAGGACAAAATTAAATGTTGGGAAAAAAAAAAAAAAGGTAGCCCCTTTGACAAATGGAGCTAGAAAAATCACATATCCATGTGCAGAAGGCTGAAATTTGATTCCCATTTTCACCCTGTACTAAAGTCAAATAAAAATAGATGAAAGATCTAGATGTAGAAAAAGAAACTTTAAAACTTCTGGATGATGAGATAGGGAAAACATTTGAAGCCATAGACACAGAAAAGACTTTGTGAATGATTTAACATGTAGGGTTACATTAAATTTGAAAACTTCTGCTTAGCAAAGGAAATTATCAACAAAGTGAAAAAACAAGCTATCGAATGGGAGAAAATTTTTGCTAGCTATTCTTCTCATAGAGGACTAATATCTAGAATATATAAAGAACTAAAAAAAAAATTAACCACTTACCACACAAATGACCCAGTCAAAAAGTAGGCAAATGAACTGAATCGACATTTCTCACTAGAGGAAATACAAATGGTCAATAAGTACATGGAAAAATGTTGAACATCTTTAGCCAGTAGGGAAATATAAATTAAAACAACAAAGATTCTGTTTTACCCTTCTCAAAACGATCATCATCAAACACACACACTAAAAACAAAAAATGCTGGTAAGGATGTGCATGGGAATATAAACTAGTACAACTACTGTAGAGTCAATATGGAGATTCCTCAGAAACTAAAAATAGAAATTCCACTTAATTAAACTAGGCCTCGCCTACCTATATTCCCAAAAGAATTGACATCATACTATAGTGATATGTGCATACCCCTGTTTATAGCAGTGAACTACACAATAGATAAACTCTGGAGATAGTCTAAATGCCTGTCAACTGATGAATGGATAAAGAAAATATGGTTTATATATACATGGTGAAATATTATTCAGCCATAAAGAAGAGTGGAGCTATGTCATTTGCAGGAAAAATAGACAGAACTCGATGCCCTCATGAGAAGCAAAATAAAACACAGAAAACTAAATATCACATAGTTTCTCTTATATGAGAAATCAGATAGATAGACAGACAGAGAAATAGACAGATAGATAAAGATAGGAAACTAGAAAGCAGATTCTGGGGGGCTGCCTCGGTAAAGGGGTTGCAGATGTTTAAAATGTGTTATATATGTGTATCAATTTCTCGGAGTAGCATCACTAGCCTATATTGCAAACAAACACTGATTTTAAGCTAGCTAGAACATCTGACTTTTATATACCAGGACATCTTCAAGGGAACGTAGGAAACTTTAAAAGATGAGCTAGAAAAAGAGCAAGACAATAGCCTTATCTAGCTGCCTTTGATTTCTTTGTTTAGAAATGTAATGTAATCCAGTTAATCCTATATT